GGACACCCACCCCTCCACCCCCATTGCCCCAGGCTCAGAGGCAGGAGAAGCTCCGAGAGGGTCATTGACTTGTGCAAAGGGACCCCAGACCCTGCTTGGGGGCGAGGGCTATGAAGCTGAGGATGTGTGTGGGAAGTGGGGGGCGCTGCTGTCCAGGAAGGCTGCCTGGAGGAGGGGTCTGAGTGGACCCAGGAAGAGACAAGCACCTCCAGAACTCCGAGGTGGGGGGTGGACTGGGGACACTCTGGATCCTGCCCCCAGATCCCACTGGAGTCCAGGAACAGGAAGAGCAGTCATGGGCCACATGGGGGCGGTATTGCCCAGTACCTGGAAAGCCATGAAGCCGCCCCCTCTAGGGTGCTGTTAGCCCCCAGTCCCGCCCCTAACTCCATGCCTGGTGGTCGGGGGTGTCTGGCTGTGACCAGTACCCTTTCTCCTCGAGCCATTTGGGACATGGTCCCCTCTGGCTGGGGACCCTGCTGGGCCAGCCATAGGTCTCTGTAGATCTTCCACCCTCCTGCGGGACCCTGAGGACTAGGGCCTGGTCACTCAGTCCTACTGCACGGGGGGCCCAACAGGCCTTGGGGTGCCCACCGGCAGTGCAGCGACCCCCGTGGCCAGGGCTCCAGCTGTCCTGAACACACAGTGGACCCTGGCATCCAGGCAGTGCTGGGAGAGGAGGGTCCGGGCGCCCCCTGGTGGCCATCAGGGGCTGCAGCTGGGACCTTTGAGGGCAACCCAGCTCCAACCAACCAGGAGGGAGATGGGGAGCATCTCTGCCTCCAACCCCCTCCTCCCACCTGGCCTCCTCCAGGTGATACTGAGAGTCCCATCATCTTCATCACCAACAGGGACGCTAACAGTCTTTCTGATGCTTTGTTGGCCAGCATGACCCCCATCACAACGGGGTCCTCTCCTGTCATGTCCACAGCCTGCTTGTCACCACTTACAGTCCAGGAAGCGAAGCTGCTGTAGGTGGGGAGACCCCGCTGCCCCCAGCAGGACTGGCTGCCAGCACCCAGGCACCTCCTGGTCACTTCACCAAGGTGGCATGTTTGTGGGCAGGGGCAGCTGGGGCTCCTCCAGGTGGGGTGGGGGGCTCTGGAGGCACCTCTGTTGGGGACGGAGCTGAGCCTGCAGCGGGAGGGGGTGTGATAGTTCATGTCATGTATCGTCTTGGCGAGGCTGTGATTCTCGGTGGTGTGGCAGACACTGGACTGGGTATGCTTCCGTAATGTAATATAATGTAATCACTTTCCATGATGTGGTCTGAGGTGATCAGCCCTTCAGCTGAAAGGGGAGTTTCCCTGGAGGTGGGGCCTGCCTCTAATATAAATGGATGTTCTGGCAAAGCTTGCTCTCTTGATCCCGTACTCTTCTTGTCTTCATCTGACCTTGGCTCTTGGGATGTGAGAAGCCTTCAGCCTGCCGCCTGACCTGCAGATACTGGGTTTCTCAGCCCCTGCAACCACGTGAGCCAGGGGAAGCCTGACCCACAGATTTGGGACTTGCCAGCCCCCACAATTGTGTGAGCCATATATATTTATGCATATGATTCACTGATTTTGCTTCTCTAGAGAACTCAGCCTAATACAAGGGGGCTGGGGCTCCTGTAGGGCAGGACTGGGCGGGGCTGCCCCACCCCTGTGGTGCCCCCCAAGGTCAGGCACAGTGGATCTCTCTGCTGAGCTCCTTGGTCACCATGAGCTTCAGTGGTCCCCTTTGACTTGGTGGCCTGTCCCATGGGGGGCTGCAGACTGCATCTGGGGTCCTGAGGCCCCACCTCCTGCTGTTACTGGAAGCTCTGCTGGGACCCCCCCTTTTGGAGATCACTGACTGGCTTTCTTCCCAGACCTAGGCATAGCCCAGAGAGAGCTGGCAACCTGCCCAAGGGCACCCAGCCAGTGAGGGTGGTGACTCAGACCCCGGTGTGCCAGGGTGGTGTCCCCTGGCCCTCCTCCAGCTGCTGGGCAGGGGAGTGTGAGGCCGCTGTGCCCGTCTGAGGCCCCCCACTCAGCACTGGCATCGAGTCAGGTACCCAGCAGCCCCGAGGCTGGTCTCCCTCCTGGCCAAGGCAGCAGGCTTGGTGACCGGCTGCCCAGAGGTGGGTTGGGGCCAGCAGGCAGTGTGTGTCTGGGCTTCGACTCCTGGGGTGGCCTTCCTGGAAGTAGCCCTCCAGGGACCACCAGCTCCAGCCAGCGATTCCCAGAGCTTCCCGCCTCACAGGATACTTCTGCTTCTGCCTATTATGGCACCCTCCTAGAAGCCCATGACCCGGCCCTCCACTCACTAACCTCTGTGAGCCTCGGTTTCCCCGAGATGCCAAGGCTAGCTTGCAGGGGCTGACTCTAAATCCAGAGCTCTTGGCCCTCTCCAGCCCCAGGTCTCCCAAGCCTCTGCTGAGGGTGGACACACCAGGCCTCTCTGCCTTGGGCCAACCCCTCCCCACCCATGGTCCTAGATCCACCGTTTGGGGGTGAGGATGGCCCTGTAGAGGGTGGGGTGACCAAACACCCTGAGTTCAGCACTAGAAGTCCCACGTTGCAGGAAACCCCTCAGTCCCAGGCAGAGGGACAGTTGGTTACTCTTGTTCATGGCTACGCCCCTTGCCAGCTGCAGCCTTGGCCAGCTACGTGCTCCCTGGCTTCCTGCAGGACTTCTCAGGGTGAGGTGGCCCCCAGCCCTGCATGCAGGTGGGCCAAGGCCGGCTCAAGGGCTTCCTGGGGCCCAGGCCAGGTCCACAGCCCCTGCCTGCCCCCCGGGGTCCAGGCGGCTCCTCCCTGTCAGCGCTGTGCAGGAGGGAGCAGTGTCACCTGGGGCCAGGCGTCAGGGTAGCTTCCCCTCCTGGGCCCCCACTCCCTCTCCCACCCCTGACCTGACGGACCGCTGGAAGGTGACATCTGCGGGGAGAGTGACAAAGAGGGCACCGCCACTCAGCTGCACGTGGGCTTCTCTGCTGGGGTGCGGGGGTGCTGACTTCCTGCTAGGTGGCAGCAGAGCTCAGCCTCCCTCAGCGCTGAGATTCCGGAAGGCTGGTCATTCAGCCAGTGACCCAGGCCAGACATGCACGGGGTGGGGAGTGGGGGCCTCTCTCTTGGCTCACCAGGTGAACCCACAGGAGCGAGGCTGAGTCTTTCCTCCGAGAGCCTGACCTTGGGCCGCCAGAGACACCAAGGGCCCCTGGACACCCCTTCTCTCCCACTTCCCAAGGACCCTGCCCTGCTCAGAGGGGTCCCCATGTTCTGAAACATTTTCTCCCTTCCCAGCCCTGCCCCTGTTCTCTGGCCTCTCAGGGCCCACCTCTGAGGGACACCCACCTCCAAGGGATGAGGTACCCAAGTCCCAAGGGCTCAGCGCCATGACCAAAGGCAGGCACCATTGCTGTGGCAACCCCACCAGGCAGCCTGCCCTCTGCATTCTCCCCAGAGCAGCCCTCTAGACTGCTGGGCAGGGCAGTTCTAGGTGGGGTGGGTCAAGAGTACCCCAACAGCTGCACACAGACCCCCATGAGAACAGTGCTGGGCCAGGAGCTGGCAGCGGGGACACTATGGCTGGAGCCCTCGAGGGTGTGGGTTAGGGCTTGCAGGGGCTGGGTGGGGCCCCCCTCTCCTGGGGGCACAAGGGATAAAAGCAGCCAGGTGCTGGGCATGTGGGAGGCCAAGTCCCGCCCCCTAATTGTCCTGAGAGTCCCAAAGCCGTCACAGGTAGGGGACACTGTCACAGGGCTTCCCAGAAGGAGAAAACGGAGTCCGCACTCACTGAAGAAATGGGCGCGTCTGCAATCCTTAAATAGATTTATGGAAATGGCTCCAAATTACAGCGTTTAGAAAATAAAAATAATCTCAAATACATAATAATATTCACTCCATTATATACTTTCTTCCACGGAAGCCAACTTCGCGCGTTTATCCCGCTGTGAAGGTGTGACTGGATTCCATCCTATAAAAGCAGCATTAGGCGTATCATCTCTCCAGAAATAAAGCCGCAGTCATCCTTGCAATACGAAGCCTGAGATTTCAGCCCGAGGAGCTGTCCGTGCTGGGGCCGAGGAGGGTCCAGGGAGGAAGGCGTGCAGAGAAAGGGGCAGTGGCAGCCACGTGGGTGGCCCTGGTGATCCCTGGCTGCCCGGTACGCCCCGCCTGAGAACCCCCAGGACCCTCTGCCTTGGGCCTCCCTGCTGTGTGGGATGCAGCCTGGCGCCTCTTCAGCGGGTGGAGGACAGTGAGCAGACGCTTCCAGGGCCCACCCTGCTCGACAGGGCCTACTGGGCCCACTCGCTGCACTTTCCCCTCCGAGAAGAAATGAGATGCGGTTGTTTTAGCCAGGGTCCTGAGGCAGGGCAGTGGGGCAGGCGGGGGGTGGCACAGGCCAGTGCGGCGTGGTGGCTGTGGGCTCAGGCCCTCAGGAAGAAAGGGCCAGCCCTTAGCAAAGCCCTGCTGTGATGAGGGCCTGAGGCCCCCGGAAGGCAGGCTGCATTGTCCCTGCGTCCTCCACCTGTCCCCGGATTTGGCCCCTGGTGCCGGGGGCTAGGGCTGGGGCTACCTGGAACTCAGCCAGCGACCTCACCACCCTGCCGGCACCGAGGGCGGCCCCAGGTACTGCTACGGCTGAACCCCAAGGCAGTAGTAGCGGAGTTCAGCAGGCGGGGACAGGTGGGCAGGCAGGAGACCCCTGACCCTTGGCTGGGCAGACGCTGTGCCCGGGGCAGCCACTAGGCGCCCAGGCTACCCTCGCTGGCCACGTGTGGGCCCCGGCCCTGACCCAGGGTGGTTGGGATGACGGCTCTAGAAGCTCTGGAAGCCGGAGTGGCCCCGTGGCCCCCTGCAGCAGCAGCAGATGAAATGTGATGAAAACCCTCTGTGGCGCGGCCTGGGGAGGGAGGAAGCGGGCAGCCACAGCGCAGGCCACAGCAGGAGCCATGGTGGGGACCACGGCCTCCTTCCTGGGAATTCAAGTCACTGCTGCCCACGGTGGATCTGGGGTCACGCCCAGGTGCCGCGTCAGATGCCCGCCTTGTCGCTGTAGAAGGGTGTGACGTGGAACATGTAGCAGTGTGTGCACACGCGGACCGGCTTCATCTGCCCGTAGCGCGGCAGCGGCGCTGAGTGCGAGGAGCAGCGGGAGCAGAAGATCTGGAACACGGGGGAGGCAGCAGTGGGCTCAGCCACAGCCGGCAGCAGGGCGTGCAGGGTGGGGGCAGACAGGCCCGTCACGCCTGGCCCTCACCTTCCGAGGCGGGGGGTGGCACCCACCCCAGGCCCATGTGCCTTCTGCCTTCCCTCCCACCCAGACCAGGCTTGGCGCTAATGGGTGAGGTCTGCTGGACCAGCCTATGGTCTGTGGGGCTGGGGCTGGTGGGAAAACCTGGGGCAGGTCTCGGCCCCAGGAGGCTGGATCCCAAGCGGGCTACTAGGTGCTGTACCCAGGCTGTGGTAGGATCTTATTCAGACTCTCCAGCTCCCTCCCTTGTCCCCAGCTCAGAAGTCGCTGGGTCTGGAGGTGGGCACCCTCCACTCAATGGGCTGAGTGCTCTGAGTATAAATGCCCTGCGCCAGGAGTCAAATGGAGTGCAGACTCGGGGGCCTCTGCACACGGACCCCACAGGCCTTGCTGCCCCCCATGGGTCCTTACTGGCTTCCAGACCCACATGTTCGGCTTGTGGGTGGGATGCCGCGCTCTCCGTCACAGGGGGCTGCGGGGCTGACCTCTGGCCCCGAAGCCTCCAGGCCACGAGCCCCCCAGGTGCCCGGCCTACCTTCCCACAGCTCCGACAGTGGTGCTTCCGGCGAATGACGGTGAAGGGTGCTTTGCATGTGGTGCACAAGCCGCAGGCCTCGTCCGGCACCCACTCGGGGGGGTCTGTCACAATGAGAGCCAGGGACCCTTCAGCCAGGTGTGACAGTGGGGCAAGGGGTGATCAGCACAGCCTCTGACTGGGTGGGCCCCCTCGCACCTCTGCTCTCCTACCCTCGAGTCCCCCCTTCAACTTCAGTCACTAGCAGTGACGGTCATTCCTTCCAGATATTGGCAGTTCCCCGTGAATCAAAACCCAGCTGGGCACCTGGCCCCAGGCCGGGCCACCTGGATGGCCACGCCCTGTGTGATGGTTAATTTTATGCGTCATCTTGACTAGGCTGTGGTGCCCAGTTGTCTGAACAAACACTAGTCTGTTCTTAGTTGCCACTGAGTTGGCTCCAGCTCACGTAGAGCTTATACATAACAGAACGAAACGTTGCCTTGTCCTGTACCATCTCATGACTTTTGATGGGTCTGGGCCCACTGTTGCATCTGTTAACACTAGTCTAGTTACTGTGACAAAATAATTACATGTAATTAAATCGGTTGGCCTTAAGTAAAGAAGATAATCTTCCATAACTTGGGTGGGCCTTGTCCAATCAGTTGAAGGTATTAAGAGCAAAAAGGAAGTTTCCCTAGGGCTCACTCTGCCTCCAGACTATGAACAGACATTTTGCCAGAACTCTTTCACTCTTCATGTTGTCTGATTTACGGATTTTGAGACACAAACCTGTAAGAGTCTCCAGCCTGTCACCTGACCTACGGATCTCTGACTTAACAGTACCTCTCCCTAATTTTGTAAGCCAGTTCCTTGAAGTAAATCTCTCTATTTCCTGTATGTGTGTTACTGTGTGTGCATGTGCTGTAAAGTCAATTCTGACTCATAACAACCCTACAGAACAGAGTAGAACTGCCCCATAAGGTTCCCAAGGAAGATTTCCAAGGAATCTTTACGGAAGCAGACTGCCAGGTCTTTTCTTTCATTGAGTTGCTGGTGGGTTTGAACTGCCAAACTTTCAGGGCTCTTTCTATATACATATATACTTATATACACTCACTCTTCACTTATCAACATAATTAGGTTCTAAAGATCAGGTCATTACGTGAAAACTGGTGTTGTGCAAAAATGGAGGGTGACTACTACATCAGACCATAAAATGGAGGATGACTATATCATTACATAACCGCCAAACTGAAAATCACAGCCCAGCCAAGTTGACATATAACCTTAACCATCACAGCCAGTGTTACTCTTGCCTCACGCTTTGGCATTAGTTAATGCCAGACATACGTCATTAATGAGCAAAATAGTTGGATAGTAGATTTTTTACTATTGCCGTAAATGATAACGAGATAACGAGATAGTTAATAAGCAGGGGTATATTCAAGCTGAATTCAGAAGAGGATGTAGAACGAGGGATATCATTGCTGATGTCAGATGGATCGTGGCTGAAAGCAGAGAGTACCAGAAAGATGTATACCTGTATTTTATTGACCGTGCAAAGCATTCAACTGTGTGGATCATAATGAATTATGGACAAAATTGCTAAGAATGGGAATTCCAGAACACTTAATGGTGCTCATATGGAACCTGTACATAGACCAAGAGGCAGTCATTCGAACAGAATGAACAAGGGGATACTGCGTGGCTTAAAATCAGGAAAGGTGTGCGTCAGGGTTTTATCCTTTCACTATACCTTTTCAATCTGTATGCTGAGCAAATAGTCTAAGAAACTGGACTATATGAAGAAGAAAGGAGCATCAGGATTGGAGGAAGACTCACTAACAACCTGCGATATATGGATGATTCAACCTTGTTTGCTGAGAGGGCAGAGGACTTGAAGCACTTACTGATGAAGACCAAAGACTACAGCCTTCAGTATGGATTACACCTCAACATAAAGACAACAAAAATCCTTACAACTGGACCAATAAGCAATATCATGATAAATGGAGAAAAGACTGAAATTGTCAAGGATTTCATTTTATTAGATCCACAATCAACGCCCACGGAAGCAGCAGTCAAGAATCAAACAATGTAGTGCATTGGGCACGTCAGCTGCAAAAGACCTCTTTAAAGTGTTGAAAAGCAAAGATGTCACCTTGAGGACTAAGATGCACCTGACTCAAGCCATGGTATTTTCAGTCGCCTCATACACATGCAAAAGCTGGACAATGAATAAGCAAGACCAAAGAAGAATTAATGCCTTTGAATTACGGTATTGGCAAAGATATTGAATATACCATGGACTGCCAGAAGAATGAACAAATCTGTCTTGGAAGTACAGCCAGAATGCTCCTTAGAAGCAAGGATGATGAGACTTCATCTCATGTACTTTGCACATATTATCAGGAGGGACCAGTTCCTGGAGAAGGATATCATCCTTGGTAAAGTAGAGGGTCAGCAAAAAGAGGAAGAACCTCAATAAGATGGACTGACACAGTGGCTGCAACAATGGGCTCAAATATAGCAACAATTGTGAGGATGGCCCAGGACTGGGCCATCCATTTCATCTGTTGTATTTAGAGTTGCTACGAATCAGAACTGACTCAAAGGTACCTAACAACAACAGGTATATATATGTGTGTGTGTGTGTGTGTGTGTTTATACATATATTTATATACGTGTGTGTATATATATATACGTGTGTGTGT